TAAAAAATGACAAACATGACGCATATACTAAATAAGTGAATTATCAAATATGTAAATAAAGAAGTAAGTCATTTGACAGTTGAAGGATAGAAATTGAATATATTCTTCAAATGTAATCGTAATTTTACTAAGCTTATGTTAGCTATCAATTATTCAATTGACGCATCAGTGGCATATGGACCCCAGTCGTAGATCTTGCCGATGTTGCTATTACAGATGTTAATGTAAATTTAAATTATTATTGATAATCATTGTTATTTCCGTCTTTTTGAATGTTTTGTTTCAAGAAATTTGACTGTGATCGGTGGCTGTTGGTTTGTAAAATCATTTATCTGTTTACTATTTTCTACTTTGTTTACTCCACATGGCGTCCATTATCGTTCTTATTCATGGCTATTTTAGGTCTTTTTTATAAATAGAGAATCACAAGTAATGCAACTTCCAAGTTCAAATTGTGATTTCGTTTATCAAACTCTAGAAATTTATTATACAACAATTCCAGAAAAATACATACCTTTTAAAAGTCTCTCTTTTGAAGACAGAAGAACCTATTCGTCACATTCACGAGTGTCAGTGTTTGTCAGTTACTCTTTACAAAAATAAACTGAAAAAATACCTTTAGCTTTACAACACTCGCGTTAAAGTGTAACCCTTTCCATAGCATACAAAAGTGTTTTTTTTTATTTTAACTCTTTCTCTCACTGAGAGCACATATATTTCTTATCAATTTCGCCATTGTGAAATAGAATAAAACACATTTTACTACATAGGATAAAATGAGCAATACTTTAAACATCTTCAAAACGAAACCAAAATATTATTTTCCGACAGGACTATATCTACGTGATTTGACGTGCACTTTTGCGATACAAGTAAGTGTTATTGCTTTTAGGAACAATCAGTTTTTTCACCATCTCTCTGTGAAAGATCAACAATGAAAAACTAAATTTTAGAAAGAGAACGGTAGGCATGTTGCTTTGCATTTGGAACGGATTCTAAAATCTGCTTTAAACTGTAGTCCTTTTTTTTCGACTTGGAACTGGTGCCAGAATTGACAATTGAAGAAAAATTTAAGATTTATGTCATTCATAATAAAAATATGAACATATTTAGGTAGAGTTTTGCCTTCCGTACTCCCGGTTGATGTAAACCTGACTTTTTAATCATGACGTAGACCAGATAACGCCAGAAAACGAAATAGCTTGCAACTGAAGCCCGCTCTAATACAAGCAACTTCCAAGGTTATGCAAAGTGTTTGATAAAACGGCTTATAAACTGACAAAGATCCAATATTCTGTGGAAAGCTTATATTTTTCCCCGTAGACTGGTGCATATCTCAAAGAAATTGGTACAGAAATAAAATATTTACGGCTATTTTCTTTTCCGAATCGAGCGTAATTTGTCTTGGAAATGATGCTGAAAATGACGTCAATGTCACGTGGTATGGCCACACTGGAAGTAGTCCGGACAAACTTTAAAAATAAAAATTATTAAAGGGCCATAACTCTGACAAAAATCATTGAACCGGAAAATGCTGACAATATGCACAACTAGACTTGGTACTGATCATTCCTGTAAAGTTTGGGTGAAATTGCACCTGTAGTTTATGAGGAGTAGTCCGGACAAGCTTTTGTGTATCTGGCAACACACAGAAAAAAAACACATTTTTATCAAAGGGCCATAACTCGGCCAAAAATCATTCAACCGGAAAACCCGTGCAATATGCGCAAGGACTTGAGCTACAGATCAATCCTGTAGAGTTTCATTGAAATTGCATTAGTGGTATAAGAGAAGTAGTCAGGACAAACTTTATAAATAACAAGATCCACCGCCGGGCGGGGGCAACGCTTGACTTTTTACTTTTTCTAAAAGCAAACATAGAAAGGCTTGAACATATCTTAACGTTTCCTTTTTATAAATTTAGTTGGTCTGTCTTGTCACATGAATAGAAACACGCAATTCTATAAATAGAAACTCACAATTCTATAAATAGAAACACGCAATTCAATAAATAGAAAGACGCAATTCTATAAATAGAAACACACAATTCAATAAATAGAAAGACGCAATTCTATAAATAGAAACACACAATTCTATAAATAGTAACATGCAATTCTATAAATAGTAACATGCGATTCTATAAATAAAAGCACTCAATTCTAAAAATAGAAACATGCAATATACGTTGTTGTTGTTGATGTTGATGATGATGATGATGATGATGATGATGATGATGATAGATTATGTATGTATATATATTTATACACACACACACACACCAATAAATATATAATTATGGTCATTTAATGCACAAATCTAAGAAAATTCAGTAATTTAACCTTCAAGGCCAAGGTCATTAAAGAGCCCAAGCAAATTTGGGTTTTTAAAACAACAAGGTCTGGTCCTTAAGAATGTTCTATTACAATATGAAGTTGATTCATTCAATAATAGCAAAGTTACAGTCAGTTACAGCCAAAACAATGAAAATTTCAATAATTTGACCTTCAAAGACAATGCCATTAATGAGTGAAGGTCAAGGTCTGTTGGGTTATTTATAAGAGTTATCCTTGAAGATTATTATGTTCAAGTTTCAAGACAATCCATTCAAAAATAACAAAGTTACAGCCAATAATAGCCAAAAAAATGAAAATTTCAATAATTTGACCTTCAAAGTCAAGGTCATTTATGAGTGAAGGTCAACATCTGTCTGGTTATTTTTAAGGGATATCCTTGAAGATTATTATGTTTAAGTTTGAAGACAATCCATTCAAAAATAACAAAGTTACAGCCATTAACAGCATGAACAAGCAAAATTTGGACTTTTAACCTTGAAGGTCAAGGTCATTTATGGATGAAGGTCAAGGTTAGTGTGGTCTACTGAAAGGTCTTGTCCCAAGGGTTGTTGTGGCCAAGTATGAAGACAATACACCAAGAAATAAAAAAGTTATGATCCAGGTACAAGTTTGCGGACGGCAACAGCAACGCCGACCCGACTATAACAATACCTCTACTTTTTTTTTTTCAAAAAAAAAAAAGTCGAGCTAAAAATTATTAAAGGGCCATAACTCTGACAAAAATCACTAAACCGGAAAATGCTGACAATATGCACAACTAGACTTGCTGTAAAGTTTGGATGAAATTGCATCAGTAGTTTATGAGGAGTAGTCCGGACAAGTTTTGTGACGGACGGACTGACGGACAGACAGACGGACAGACAGACGACGGAGAAGTGATCCCTATATGTGGCCACTACTCTGTAGAGGCGACACAAAAATGCTTTTTGGAACTTACAATATTGATAAATCTTCATTTGAGCATTATATTTATGATATAAAACCATATAAAAATTGAGTTACAGAATCTTTGATTATAGGGCTTTCCCAAAGAAAATTGAAAAAAAAAGATAGTAAAATACATGTATATTGTACTATGTAACATACCTATTCTTTACTATTTGTGATTTTCATTACGTTTGGAAAGTAATAAGCCTTTCAAATATGCCCTATCAATATTTAAGTCATTCAAACATGACTTGATAGATAAAGATCTCTGCCAAACCCCCTGGCAGGAGATTAACAAATGGATAACAGCATAAAATGTTTTGATAAGGAAGTACTCTTTAACAAATAATGTATGAAAATGACTTCCAGCCCAGCATGTAAACAGATCTTTAGGCTAAGCTGGAGGATGTTGGGGCTGCAATCCTGACAAGGTTTTTGACAACGAACAGACAGATGTTCAGACAGATGTTCTAACAAAACAGTACTTATTTGGCAACCCATTGTTCCCTTTTTTGTTCTTTTAAGTCACATAAAGGAAAATTGCCACATAAAAGCTTATAGAATGAATGACATCAAAGGAAAAGTACAGACACCTATTGTTCCTGTAGAAATATCATTATCCTCTTGTTAGTGCGGACAGACAGACAAGGAGAAATGACCCTGTTGCTGCTACTCTGTTGCAGGCAACACAAAAAAACAAGGGGGCCATTGGCCCCAAATTGCTCACCTGAAGACATAAGAGCCAATTTTGACACAAGGGGCAAACTTTGAACAACGTTGATAGAGGATTTATAGATAATAATAAATACCAAATATCTAAGCTCTAAGCCTTGTACCTTCAGAAAAGAAGAAATTTTAAGTTATTACTATAAGTACAAAATGAAAATTTATGGCCCCCCCCCCCCCCCATTTTGACCCCAGGGCTAGAATTTGAACAATCTTGGTAGAAATCCACTACAATATGTTTCATGCCAAATATCTAACCTCTAGCCTTTGCCAATTCAGAGAAGAAGGTTTTTAAGTTTTTACTATGTATAAGGAAAACCTATGACCCGGGGACATGGCTAATTTCAACACTAGCGGCAACACTTGAACAACTTTGGTAGAGGACCTATAGATGACATTATATACATGTACCTATTATCTAAGCTCTAAGCCTTGTTCCTTCAGAGATTAAGATTTTTTAACTTTTTACTATATACATATAAGGAAAACCTATGACAATTGCGACAACATTTGAACAACTTTGGTAGAGCACCTACAGATGATATCATATATACCAAAAATCAAAGCTCTGGGACTAATACTTTCAGACAAGATGATTTTTGCATTTTTGAAAACTCCTTTTCTGGCCCCGTGACCTACTTATGCAACAGACAGAAACCATTTGAACAATTTTGGCAGGGGACCACCCAAGGATTATTCCTACTGTGCAGTCATTGGTTTCTTTAAAGTAATTTGACAACGCATGCAACGGACAGTAGGGGATCACAATAGCTCAACATGAGCATGTTGTTCTCAGATGAGCTAAAACACGAAAAAGCTGCATTCATACTGCAATCAATGTGCATTCGTACATTATAAGTAGAAGACAATAAAGAGAATGTTAGCTAATAAATGTCCAGCAGAGGTAGCGAGAAAAAAGTTGCAAAAACAAAATATGTCTGTTCTATTATTAAAAACTGTTTTCATCAAGCTGATAGTCAACCTTTCACTTACTCATATTCTTAAGTTTAGCAGGTCCGATCTCTTCATCTTGAGGAAATTCCTTCACATCTAAGGGATAATGTTCTTCAATATCGTTCTCTACCACATTTACAGGTGACCCTTTGTGCTTCACTCGACAATGATGAACAACGTTCGACCTTGTTGAGAAAAAAGTGTGACAAAAAAAAAAGAAATGTACCATTTACGTAAAATTTGAAGTTCTTTTGATCACGAGTTCATGTTGACTTGACATTTTTAACAAAGGTGCGAGTATTTTTATAAGTTTTCTTTATTGTGAAAGGTGTGCCAAATAGTGTTTAGGCCTAACAAAAAAGAATGTTTGTTTCCAGTGACATAATAGGGTAGGTAGGTAGGTAGGCATTTTTTTTTTTTTAATATTTTTTTTATATCAAGTGTATGTGAAGGAAATGTGAAAATGCGGCGCAAAGTAGTTATGCAGTGTTAAACAAAAAATGTGGCCTGTTTTCCCTCAAAAAGTTTAGGGTCGGTGGCCAAACTAGAACTGCCACTGTCATGGCATGAATAACCCTGCATACCACTTTGTAGAATCAACAGTGGCCATTAAAATCTCAAGGACAACTCAGGGGGGGGGGGGAGGGAATCACATGACTTTGAAATAGTAATACCCACTGCTGAGCCCCGGTTAGTACCTTATTATGTTAAATTAAGGTGACAAACGTTTCTTAAATCAAAACAATACCTAGTGTATCATATGCGTGGTAATTTTCTTCAAATGACAATACAAAGTGCATTATCCTACGTTTTGTGGTTTTTGAGAACATTGTTTGAATTGTGTGAAAATTGCACATGCAGCGATAGTAGCAATATAATTTGGTACCAAAATAAATGAAAATAAGCTTTCTTTTTGCTCTTAAGACACTAAATCAATCATTTTATTGACATTTGTTTTTGTATAATTCCATATAAAATTCTGTTTGAAAATCTATAGCCTACAATTTGATGTTCTTTGCAAGTGTTTAGTAATTTAAAGGACAGACAGACAGGGATTGCACGCACAGATTGCAATAGCTTACTTTCATAATACATGTATTCATATTCATATAATTTCATAAAAGATTACTTAACTTAAAAAAAAAATAAATGAGACATTGACATTGATACTCAACAATATACGTTCCACATGGCCCTTTTTCACGTTAGACCGGACCCACATCCGTCATCTGTAGAACTTAAGATATATAAAGAAATAACTGTGCAGAAGGAAATATTACAACACTATCATTTACTTTTCAGTATCTGCAATTTGGACCAAAAACGCAAAGGAGAAGACATTTGCCATATCAAATTGATATTTAATGCCATCATAGAAGTGGTATACAAAGTTTTTATTGAATTTATTCTTTTATACACTGGCAGATTTTATAAATATACCCAAGAAGTTTTGTTAAAACCTTATGTATTACTATACACTTATTTTCTTACCATGTGCAAATGTGTTGCGCCGTAAACTTTTACTTTTTGTTTGTGATAGAGTAATTTAATAAGATATTCAGGGCATCCATGGCCGAGTGGTTAAAGTCCCTGATTTTTATACATATGCTTCTCACCGCTATGGATTCTAGTCCCACCAGCATCCTTGAATTCTTTCATCAAACTAGCTAACAAAACGTCGGTGCTTTAACTCAGGTGTTGTGACAGTGACGGTGTGATCTGAAAGCCAGCATCTAGGATTGTTTTATTTTAATAATATGTTTTACTCCACTTGTCTTCACTTTAAAAAGTACAAATATCTTTGTACATTTAATGTAAAATATCGTTTTTCTTTAAAGGCCCATTATACCTTTGAAATGCTATTATTTATATTTAAAAAAAACAACAACTCTGTTTATTGTTGGTATCTTGTTACACTTTCCGAAAACATACTCATTTGCTAGATACTCAAACTATGTCTTGCATCTAAGTTCTGTTGGCAATTTGTATACCTTTAGTAAATAAGTATTTTGTATGGAAGTCAAAATACTACTTTGTTTATATTTCGCTACCTTTACGACAAATCACGCTACCTTTTTCAGTTGTAATAAATACTATGATGCGTTTTATCCATTATTTTAACATTATGAAACACATGTTTGACATTTCTAAAGAATTAAAACAATATGGATTTCTGAGGCACATTGTGCCTTTAATCATAACTTCAATCACTGTATCATTGTTTGTTTTTGTTGTTGTTGTTGTTTGTTTTGTTTTTTTGTTGTTGTTTTTTTTGTAAGAAGTTATTTTGTTCTTGCGAATTCTTTAATATTTTCATAAATTAAGTAACATAGTGACAAAATGTCACAAACACCGCCACATAAAAACATCAGTATTCAGTTTATTAACATCACCATACCAAATAACAAGCAATCATATATTTGTTCATCTTTTTTCTAATTACAGTAAAATGAGGGCCAAGACACACCTGATACTGCAGAGGTCAAAGAACTACTATTGTAGAAGAAAAATAACACTGAGCCGTATGATATCAAATCCCATCAAAAGTTCATTTGAAATATTATAAAAACAACCAACTAAGCATTTGTCCTATGGACAAAAAGTGAAATATTTGATCTTGAATAATTGAAATAAGTATTGTCTATCTCTTTACATATGAATTTTAACTTTCATTTAATGTATGTATGCTATTGGAAAATGTGCGTGAAACTTACGATTTTGTTTTCGTGCGACTTAATATCCAGAAATTGTTCATTTTACTTACTATATACATGTACTTGCAAGAACATTTGTGGGCTACAGACCTTCGAAAATATATTTTATATGGACTTCTACGATAACAGATGTCAATAAAATGATTGAATTGGTGTCTTAAGTGCAGAAAGAAAGCTTATTTTCATTTATTTTGGTACCAAATTATATCGCTTCGTGCGAATTACTATCGCTGCATGTGCAATTTTCACACAATTCAAACAATGTTCTCAAAAACCACAAAACGTAGGATAATGCACTTTGTATTGTCATTTGAAAAAAATTATCGTGCAAATGATACGCTAGGTTTTGTTTTGATTTAAGAAACGTTTGTCACCTTAATTAAACATAATAAGGTACTTACCAGGGCTCAGCAGTCGCCATTTTCTCGTGGGTATTACTATACAAAGTCACGTGTTTTCCCCCGGTGCCAATGGTCATGATCAACCTCCATGCCAAATATGAAGACAGTGGGTCAAAGGTTTCTTAAGTTATTGGGCGAACAAACTTTTTGAAGTCAAGGTCCCTGTGACATTGACCTTTGACCCAGTGACCTGAAAAACAATAGGGGTCATCAACTTATTATGACTAACCTCAATGCCAAATACATGTATGAAGACTTCTGGTCAAAGGAATCTTAAGTTATTGGGCGAACAAGCTTTTTTAGTCTAAGCCCCCGTGACCTTGATCTTTAAGCCCAGTGACCTCAAAATCAATAGGGGTCATCTATTAATCATGCCTTACCTCCATGCCAAATATGAAGACTGTGGGTCAAAGGAATCTTAAGTTAACAGGCTTTTTCTGTCAAAACCCTGTGAACTTGACCTTTGACCTACTGACCTCAAAATCAATAGGGAGTATCTACTTATCATGACCTATCTAAATACCAAATATGAAGACTGTGGGTCAAAGGAATCTTAAGTTATTGGGCGGACAAGCTTTTAAAAGTCAAGGCCCCTGTGACCTTGACCTTTGACCAGGTGACCTAAAAATCAAAAGGGATCATCTACTAATCATGATCAATCTAAATACCAAATATGAAGACTGTGGGTCAAAGGAATCTTAAGTTATTGGGCGAACAAGCTTTTTGAAGTCAAGGCCCCTGTGACATTGACCTTTGACCCAGTGACCTCAAAATCAATAGGGATCATCTACTTATCATGACCAATCTAAATACCAAATATGAAGACTGTGGGTCAAAGGAATCTTAAGTTATTGGGCGGACAAGTTTTTTTAGTCAAGGCCCCTGTGACCTTGACCTTTGACCCAGTGACCTCAAAATCAATAGGGATCATCTACTAATCATGACCAATCTCAATACCAAATATGAAGACTGTGGGTCAAAGAAATCTTAAATAATTGGACGGACAAGCTGATTCCAGTATACGGTATATTCCCTACCTTACAACTTCGTTGTGCGGGTGTATAAAAATAGGGTAGGTAGGGACATCGGAAACAAACAATTTATTTTTAGGCCTTATTGACAAGGGAGAGCATCCGAGAACCTACCATGAAAAGTTTTACAGTTGTGTGTAAAATTATCTTGTGGATGACCGTCAATAGATGTAATGAGATTTTGTAAGGTATCTAATTTTTCTCATAAACTTCTTGAACTTTGATCAGGGCTACCTACATGTGTATATATAATGAATACAGACACATTTATATTGTCGGTGTTCCTTCCCACATTGTAACTTACAAATTAAGAATTGTTACCTGGGTGCAGAAGTAAAATCACAATAGCCACATCTGTACGACTTTTCTTCGTGTCTGTACTTGTGTGTATATATAGTTGCTCGAACCGGAGTTTGAAACGTGCACAGGTTACAACTGTACAAATACACCCCGTTTTCGATACGAATACTGTAGTAGTCGGTCTTCGACGTCTGACATTTAGGCGGTTTAAAAACTCTGTCGTCTGCCTGACAAATAGAGGTATCATTTTCGTCTGTTGATGTAGGATAACTCTCTTCCGAATTAAAATCCTCATCGTCAATAATTTCGCTTCCAGTTCCCATATCGTCTGCTGGTTTAATGTTGACTGCTTTGGTTTTATTCAACGTGCTTGGCGTAGTCATTTTGCATAGCCTCTTTAACTGGCTTATAGTTCGGTCACGTGATTCTTTCGATAACTGAATCACATTCAAATTTTTAGTTTTGTGAAACTTTATACCATGCTGCGTGATTTGATGTGGAAAAGCTGCTTTATAGTCACAAAGTGAACATTTCACGAAGTGAATCTTGTGAATGCCCGATAAATGAACTCGTATTGTATTCTTAGACGTCTTATATTCACAAAATGGACAACAACGACGACCAAATTCGTCAGTGTGGTGATAAACTTCTAATTTGTCATAATATTTAGAATCTTTCACGCGAACTTGCGCTGTTCCGCTGATAGTCTGTGTCCGTATTATGTCAGGTGGTATGTCGTTTGGAAAATCTGACGAATCGATTTCTGTTTCACCACTGGGCTCCAGCAAAGGCGGAGATCTTTCACTCGATAATTCCCTTGAAGTATTTGAGGAACTTTTCTTTAAACTTAGTTTTATTTTTAAACCCGACGGTTTGGAGACATAAGTCGGCGTCTCTTCGTCGGTATCAATTTCAACTTCTTCAAGGTCATCGTCGTCATTGTCATCGTAATATTCATCTTCGACATAACACTTTTTCTGTGTTAATTTTGTGTTTTCCTCTCCACCCGAATACCTCGGGAGTTTTGCAATATTGTTTAAAGATTCATTAACAGAAGCCCGTGTTCGCATGCTTATGTTTGGTTTCAAGTACGGTGGTTTTGAAATAGAAAAAGCACCATCAACTTTAGGTGGCGTTTTTTCAGCTGAAGCCTCACAAGAATTGTCAACAACACTGGGTGATATTGACGGAGATTTAAGGCTTTTTGAATCACTACCAAGTTTTGCACACTTATTAATGACTTTCTCAATTCGGGACACACACGTATATGTAAATGGTTGCTGTTGGTGATGCACGTGTAAATGTCTTTCAATTTCTGAGTCAAGTTCAAACATAGAGGAACAATATTCACACTCGTAGTCCTCTTTACGTTCATTGTGAGTTCTAACAAGGTGCGTGTAGATAGCTTTACGTTTGTCCGTTTTAAATGAGCACGGCGCATGTACGCACATGAAGGACTTATGTTCCCGCTTAGACATCTTCGAAACACTGGTCAAGCTAGGAATCTCAATCTGAAATGAAAATAAATGCTCACTCTGAAATGAAAATAAATGATATCAGCTCAAAAGAACCATAAATTAACATATAAACAATTTAAGCTTAAACAATTAACAGTTTAGATATAAATGTACATGGTATACAAGGTTACGGTTTTAAAAAATATAACTGAAGCGAAATAGAAAACCTAGCTAAACGCCGTTTTCCGGTACTTTCTGTACATAGCTCTGGGGATTTCACCTATAGACTCGGTGTTTTTGGTCTTCTTTTAAAGTGAAATAAAACAGTTATTACTTTGTAAGAAAACAATTAAATATCATTGTATGAATAATTCCAAAAAAAAATACACACGTTTACGCAGAAAATATCTCTTATTAATTATGGAAGATTCCACCATAAGACTGTTTTAATTTAATTGATTTTCATCATAAACATTTTTTTTAATTTGCAATAGATCTTAAAGAAATATTGATAATTTTCAACCACATCAAGTTTTTTTTTCACCTTAAACATCAAATTAATAATAGATAAATAGAAATATTATGTAGTAGTGTTATGTTTACTTCATTTGGTGTAATTCCCCAGAGTTAAATCCGTAACGTACCGGAAAACGGTGTTTAACTAGATTTTCGAAAAGGTCAATTAGAGATACATTTGTACGTCATATATATGTACATTTATATCTAAACTGATAGTAAATTGTTATACATTATGTTTAAGCTTAAATCTTTTATGAGTTAATTCATGGTTCTGCTGAGCCAAGCATACACCTCAGTTAGACTTTACTTCTCAGCCATTCTCAGTAAATCACGACACATATTCAGCACTGAAAAATGAACTTTTCAATACTAAATTCTTTTGCATTTCAAATTTAACAGTATCTTTAGTACGTTTTTTTCCTATAAAAGGTTTTCTAGAACCAAAAATAAATTTCGTCAAGACAATGACTACCTCAGTTTATGCACGTGCCTGTAAAAAAACATTTCACGTAACAGAGGCTTCACCTGAGTGTATCTTTCACAAGAAAATGACTAAAACATTAGTGTTTGTATATTGCACATCGGATGATAGGGCGTAGGAAACACGCTAGATTCCCAGAATATTCGTATTGCAATATTTTCTCATAAACTTAGTCGCGCGCGAAGTTGCAGACGAAGTTTCCAAGCGTTTCACCGACACTTCAACATGAAGGTCATAGAACGCCTTTCCAGACGCCAGAGTTTCACAGTTGGAGAGTATTTTCAGTGCAGGGTATTACTAGACAAAATGATTCTTTAAGACATAACCAATCCAGTATTTCCTCGTCTGCTTGAAATCTTGGAAATATCGGTTGAAGTAAAATATCTCAACATTATCATTTTATAAAGAAGGAGTATTTTAAGCTTTGATGTGATATTTTGTGGTTAAGAATATTTTAAACAATATTTGAGCCGTGTCATGACAAAACCAACATTATGGGTTTGAGACCAGCATGGATCGAGACCAGCCTGAGCATCCGCGCAGTCTGATCAGGATCCATCCTGTTCGCTATCAGTTTCTCTACTTGTAATAGAGTTGGTTAGCGAACAGCATGGATCCTGATCAGACTGCGCGGATGCGCAGGCTGGTCTGGATCCATGCTGGTCGCAAACCCATTATGTTGGTTTTGTCGTGACGTGGCTCATTTAGTTTCTCATATTTGCAAGTATCTATATCGGATCAATAGCAGCTCCATACCAGTCGTCTGTTTAACTTCCTGCAATACAACAACAAAAAGACTTTTACCAGAAAAAAATGCTAAATGACTTTTTAAATACCATCAAACCTTTATGTGATTAAATGATAATTACTTTATTATACTTTAATATATATTATTAATATCAGGTTAAAATACTGCAGTTAAAAAATCAAGGTAAGTCTGAAGTCAGACACTTTGGTGGCAAGCACTTGTGTCCCAAACCTTCATTTTCGCGTTTGAGTTAAAACTACTGAGCCACCATATTGTGAATACAAATTGATTCATATAAATAAATTACATTTGTAAATTTAATACTTTATCACTCCATGTAGAGTTTATGAATTGTAAAAATACAAAGCATATTAAAGAACCATATTTGTTGTTGGTCAGTTTAAATTAATTTTTTGTCTACAATTAAAAACGTTTAAGAGAGTACTAATCAATCTGCACAATTGTATTACTAACAATTGAGTTTGATATACATGAAGGTCTTATCCTGCAGAATTTTATGTCTTGATATGAAGTCAATCCATATATAAATAATAAAGTTATAGCCAGTCACACCAAACAAAAATGAACATTTAATTTATTTGACCTTCAAGGTTAAGGTCATTTATGAATGAAGGTCAAGGTTTGTCTGTATAAGTTGAAGGTTTTACCAAGAATATTGCGGTGTACAAGTTTGAAGATATTACATTCAAAAATAACAAAGTTATAGCCACTTAAAGCAAGAAACAAGTAAAATTTGGACATCTGAAGGTCAATGTCATTTATGAATGAAGGTCAAGTTTAGTCTGATCTTCTTAAAGGTCTTGTCCCAAGGTTTGCTGTGGCCAAGTATGAAGACAATACAATAAGAACTCAAAAAGTTATGATGTCGACATGACTGTAACAATACCTCTATTCTTCGAGATAAAAATGACACAGAGAATCAGAACCTACTGCTTCTAATGTAGTAGGACATAGAACCAAATAACCTAAAAATAAAGAGCATAATTATCATAATGTACATCCGGCCAAAGTTTTCGACACTATCACTTTGAAGATACTCGCGTTACTGTAATACTAGCTTCGCAAACAGGGCCGGGATTCCTCGACAATCTCAATTTTAATTGGTTTAGGGCAGTCAGAACGGCGACAATAAATAGGATTTACGTTGAATGTAGGTACTGAAATGTAGTCGAATATCCGATATGACGTAATCTCAACTTGTTCTGCGGAGCCATTCTTCGTAACACACATTGCCGATGATTTACAGACACACTTCACCTCCCAGACACTCCCAAGACACTTCATCCCTCGCCGATATACCTGGTCCGAAAAGTTTGCAAAGCGACGTTAGCAGTACTTAAACCCCTGTCACACTAGGGCGGCGTTCTCACGGCGTCCAAAGAAAATTCAGAACGCCGAGGTGAGCGCAGAAAGATCGCAAACATCGCCGTAGCATCGCCGCAGCATCGCAGTGGCATCGAATAGAACGCCGACCGACAGCGCGCATTTTGAGCCTGCTCATAACAAACGCCGTCACTCGGCGTTCTGATAAGTACGGAATGCCGTTAGGGCCATCGCCAATGAATGTATTGATCTTAAACGCGATAGTCAATAGTACGATGGTGAAAACGCGAAATCACGAAACTACGATGGTGAAAACGCGAAAGTACGATGATGAAAACGCGATAGTACGATGATGAAAACGCGACAGTACGATACTACGATGATGAAAACGCGATAAACTATCGTGTTTTCACCATCGTACTGTCGCGTTTTCATCATCGTAGTTTCGTGATTTCGCGTTTTCATCATCGTACTGTCGAGTATCGCGTTTCAGATCAAACCATTGATAGGCGATGGCCCTAACGGCAATCCGGAATGCCGTTAGAGCCATCGCCTATGAATGTGTTAATCTGAAACGCGATAGTCGATAGTACGATGGTGAAAGCACGAAATCACGAAACTACGATGGTGAAAACACGATAGTACGATGATGAAAACGCGATAGTACGATGATGAAAACGCGATAGTACGATGATGAAAACACGACAGTACGATGGTGAAAACGCGATAGTACGATGATGAAAACACGACAGTACGATGATGAAAACGCGATAGTACGATGGTGAAAACGCGATAGTACGATGATGAAAACACGACAGTACGATGATGAAAACGCGAAATCACGAAACTACGATGGTGAAAACGCGACAGTAAGATGGTGAAAACACGATAATTTATCGCGTTTTCATCATCGTAGTATCGTACTGTCGCGTTTTCATCATCGAACTATCGCGTTTTCATCATCGTACTTTCGCGTTTTCACCATCGTAGTTTCGTGATTTCGCGTTTTCACCATCGTACTATCGACTATCGCGTTTCAGATCAACACATTCATAGGCAATGGCCCTAACGGCATTCCGTAGATAAGAGCGCAGTGGGATCGCAGTAAGGACGCCGTAGCAACTCAGTAGCATCTCCTACAACGCAACAGGAGCGCCGTGAAAGCGAATGAACACGATGGTTAGCCACGGCGCTTGTACGGAGATTGTGCGTATACGGCGCTTGTACGGAGCTTTATTTTTCTCAAACGCTCTTACTGCGACTTTACAGAACTGTCACGGCGACCATTGCGCTCTCAAGGCGATTCTACTGCGTTCATCTGATATTGCAGAATACAGTACAGTAGAATCCCTACATAAGACCACTCCGGAATTAAGATCACCCCTGTATTAAGACAATCTTTAAAGCACGATATTTTCTGTTATTTATGTTAATGGTAGCTTGGTCCACAGTTAAGACCACACCACTTATCCACTTTTACGACCACCAGTTTCAGTTCCAATTCATTGTTTTATTTAGTTTAAACATGTTTACACATAAAAAATTCAAATAGATTGGTCATGAAATACATATGCCTTGATAATTATAGCCATAATTAAGACCACCCGCAATTAAGATCACTGTGACTTTAGTCCAGTCCTTTTGGTGGTCTTAATAGAGGGTTTCCACTGTATATATCAAACATGTTTGCAAGTAAATGTCCTCTGATGCACGGCAGCAAGCTGAAATATTGCTTGCTTGCATGCAGTTGCAGCAGGTACACGACTATTCAGAATCAGTAATCGCTGGTATAAGAAGCACGATATAAGGGCAGTGTAAACAATTTAACAACGCCGTGCAAACGCAGCAGAAGCGCAGTCTAGTGAAACAGCGCCTTTACGGACATAATGTAAACTATGTCCTAGCTTCAACAAAGTTTAACTATCCTATTTCTTTTGTAAAGTCAATATAACTTAACACAAATAATTCAGAATCAGCGTTTTCTCAGGACATTTAAAGTTGGTTTCGGAGCTATTTTACTGTGCAAATTACAAATCTGAGTAAAAAAAAAGTTCCGGAAGATGATAACGACGAATCTGTATTATGTACAATAATTATACTGACAAAGTATTAGCATAGGTGAACTATATTCAGTGAAAAACATTGTCCTTAAAATTAAAGTATGTCCTATTAATGACGATACATGTTATGATGTATTTTTATTTTTAGAAAGTGGCCCAAAATAGTAATTCGAACCCGAGTCTTACTTTTTATAGGCCTGTATCAGTGTATATGCCCACTGCCACATTTGGCCGCCTTATCTTAATGTATAATATATAATAAACTGCATCGTGTAATTGGTCGAGTCACCTGATAAAAATACATGCATTTATTTCTATTTTCTGTACCTGCAACAATAAACACATTAATTTTTACCTGTGTTTTGTTTGTTTGTTTTCCTTCTGTTTTATTTTTTCTTATGACGATGTTTTATGCGGGAAAAGAAAAGATGCTTTTATTTAATCGAATCTATTAAAACCATTTCATTGGATGAAAACATCTGAATGCAGCAACTAACAAATAAGAATTTTTTTCTTTTGAGAATGAGACAATTTTTAATGTTATACCTATTTCAGAATTGTAAACTTATCTGCAAATATATTTTATGTAAATTTGACTAAAAATCACGCTTCTTCGTAAATGAAATACTAGTTAACATAGTTATAAATAAATAAATATTAACATTAACAGCATGCTCTAGCGTTTATCAAATCAATATGTTTAAATTTGGTAACAGTAAAGGGAGACATGTCGTAAACTCACTGTGTAAGAAGTTATAAAATCTTGTATGTCCATTTCTAACTTCTCCTTAAATGAAGAACAGTCCCGGTTCCCACCTCAACTAATCCATTTTAATGTACAATAGACAGCGCACATAGTCAAGAAATCATTCATACCTGAAACTTATTAAAAAATAGGTAACAAGTAATCGTATTTCACACACTCTAAAACAGACCTTGCTGTAACTTCGATACTTCACAAAATATGCTAATCTGATATGAAACGTTCCCAGACCGCCCTGATCTAGAAATCTTCCCCACTATCAGTCGCCATGGAAACGGAATACTTCTTTTTGATGTCTTTGGCATAATACTCAAGCGAGTGTGTAAGACTGAGAACTATTATTGATGTCTGGCAAACAGTGCAGGATTTCTGCTTCTAACGAAAAGAAGATTTTTCCCAGTTGCCAATACTAGAGACAGGAATGGTCGAGCATTAATCTCACTGTTTTCCAAAACATTAGGTTAAACAAGAATGAATCGAGCGCACGCCATCATGAATTATTTACTGTACAGGACATAAACTTGGAGGAACTTATAAGTGTGCCACCGAATAAAACATATTTCTCTGAACTGTGCTGGTAGAATAAAAATGAACTTATATATTTCGTACAAATTTGTTGACTTTTAAGATATTCAAATGCATTAGACCATAATGAAATATAAAAATAACATAAAATACGGCTTATCCTTTTGTCTGTAACAGTTTAAGAAAATACAGTTAGCATCTGGTATTTGCACCATCTGCATTTATAACGGAATTCATTGACAACACATAATTTTAATAAGAAATATTTATTATTCCTCCTCTAGGGTCTGTAGATTTTGTGGAAGTGGTTCATTGGTTGCAGCTCCGCCAAAAATTAAGAAAATTTTGTTGTGCATACCAAATTGCGCGATAAACAAGCTGGCTGGTCATCTTGTGTGTTTTTGTTGTATTTGTGTGAGTGTGTGTTGTTGCAGTTTTTGTTGTTTTGTTCATTTTAATGCACATTTGTTTGAATCATTCAAATATGCGCGTGATTTCATTGAGTTTGTTATAGCACAAACTATGCATTTTAGTTGATTTTGAATTATCTTCTCTTGCGCACGTTGTTTGTTTTTTTCAATTAAAGAATAGTAAAACAATCGGTAAGAACGCCAAATATCTTCCACTGAAATAAAACAAGAGCCGGTTTGAACCGGGGTGATGCTCCCCGAATAGGTTTTAGATACAGAAAAGTACGTCTCTTTTTTGTCCATGGGCCCGGATTTTATCAATTAATCCCTTGATTTACAGCTAAAACAAGAACTCCTTCCGATTTCTATTATATTGGTTTCCCCTCCGGTGATTAGCAGCATGTCATATTAATGAATGAGAACTGGAAAGCAGTACTGAATTCGAAAGCTATAAATAGCGAGATGATTAACATTGTGAAAGTCCGAAAATCTATTTATAGAAGTAGTTTTAGTCTAAACGAAATGGTCATTCGTGTCGCTCTATGGTAATAAATAACAACTTATCGAAAAAAATTAAGTAGGCCATTTTTTAGAAACGTTATATTAAAGTATTATCATTTTGAAATTGTCTCCGTTTTTTATGTAAGATGTTGATTCTATTTGGTTTGAAGGCATTTTAACAACATAAACTTTGGTCTGCAGTTTGAACATGAGGTGTAATGGGGTTTTTTATGACGCAAAGTTCTCAGTGTAATATTGAAAAGGGCAATAACTCCAAAAATGGACATTGCAGAGTATCTACACAATGAGATCTATGTACCTACAAAGTTTTATGTAAATATCTCTTCTACTTTCAGAGTTATGTCCCGGACAAAGTTCAAAGTGTAAAATGAACAAAGGGCAATAACTTCAAAATTAGGGAAGGCCGAATTATGGTTCTTCGTGAACTGCACTTCTACCCAATGAGATCTATCTACGTACAAGGTTTCATGTTGATATCCCTTATAGCATATGAGTTATGTCCGGGACAAAGTTCAAAGTGAACGTTATAAAAGTGCGGGAAACGTAAAAATACGACGTTGCGCTGCAAATGAAATTTTCTTTTACTCTCTCTATAAGAAGTATTGAATTGCTACAAAAATACATAGGGTAAATATTCTATAAAGGGAGGCAATAAATATATATTTATTGGTGTGTATGTATAATAATAATAATATATGGTCATTTAATTAATGCATACATTACGTCGCTTGAAAACTGTAATGTTCTATCTCCAAATTTTCCAAAAACGAGTTAAATACACAATTTTGTCCGTAATGGATAGTAATGGATAATAATGCAGGGCAGTTCATCATTTTTGTGTGCTGCATTCCTCCTCAATGAGATCTATCCACCTATGAAGTTTCAAGTTGATACCGTTAACACTTTTTAAGATAAGCTTTTAAGATAAAAAGTATGAAAAATAACAAAGGGCAATAAGTAAAAATTATAAATGGTAAAGTTATCATTCTTGCGCACAGCATTCCTCCTCAATAAGATAAATCCACCTATGAAATTTCCATGTTGACATCTCAAAGACTTTTTGAGTTATGCTCCACTCAGGTGAAAAATAAAGTATGAAACATAACAAAGGACAATAACTCAAAAATTATGAAGGGTAGAGTTATCATTCTTGTGCACTGCATACCTCCTGAGTGAGATCTATCCACCTATGAAGTTTCATATTGATATCTCAAAGGTTTTTTTGAGTTATGCTCTGGACAAAAATTAAGTTTGAAAAATAACAAAGGGCAATAACTGAAAAATTATGCAGGGTAGAGTTATCATTCTTATGCACTGCACTTCTCCTCAATATGATCTATCAACCTATGAAGTTTCAAGTTGATACCTCAAATACTTTTTGAGATATGCTCCGGGCAAAAATATCAACCGCCGAAAGGCGGCGGGGAAATAGCAATAGTCTCTCGGACTATTGCTCTCGGACGGAAGGACGGACGGAGACTATTTCTATTTCCCCGCCGCCTTTCGGCGGAGGATAAAAAACAAAGTTGCAGCCAGTTACAGCCAAAAAAAATGAAAATTTCAATAATTTGACCTTCAACGTTAAAGTCATTTATGAGTGAAGGTCAAGGTCTGTCTGGTTATTTTTAAGGGATATCCTTGAAGATTTTTATGTTCAAATTTGAAGACAATCCATTCAAAAATAACAAAGTTACAATCAATAATAGCAAGAACAAGCACAATTTGGACTTTTGACCTTGAAGGTCAGTCAACGTCATTTATGGATGAAGGTCAAGGTTGGTGTGGTCTACTGAAAGGTCTTGTCCCAAGGGTTGTTGTGGCCAAGTATGAAAACAATACACCAATAACTAAACAAAAGGGCCATGATGGCCCTGGATCGCTCCCCTGACCCATCAACAGCATCCAAACAATGTCTTAGACAAGCATCCTGGCCAAGTTTGATGACAATTGAGTCAAAAATGTGACCTCTAGTGTGTTAAAAAGGTTTTCCATCTTTGGGCAATGCGACCTAATTTTTGACTGGAGACGACCAATATTCGAACTTGACCTAGAAATCATCAAAACAACCTTTCTGACAAATTTCCTGAATATTTGGATCAAAACTGGAGCCACTACAGTGTTATAAAGATTTTTCTATTTTTAGCTCCTGTGACCTAGTTTTTGACCGGAGATGACCCATCTTCGAACTTGACCTAGAAATCATCAAAACCACCTTCCTGACAAATTTCCAGAATATTTGGATCAAAACTGCAGCCAGTAGAGTGTTAACAAGCTTTTTCTATTTTTAGCCCCTGTGACCTAGTTTTTGACCGGAGATGACCCATCTTCGAACTTGACCTAGAAATCATCAAAACAACCTTCCTGACAAATTTCCAGAATATTTGGATCAAAACTTCAGCCACTAGAGTGTTAACAAGCTTTTTCTATTTTTAGCTCCTGTGACCTAGTTTTTGACCGGAGATGACCCATCTTCGAACTTGACCTAGAAATCATCAAAACAACCTTCCTGACAAATTTCCAGAATATTTGGATCAAAACTTCAGCCACTAGAGTGTTAACAAGCTTTTTCTATTTTTAGCTCCTGTGACCTAGTTTTTGACCGGAGATGACCCATCTTCCAACTTGACCTAGAAATCATCAAAACAACCTTCCTGACAAATTTCCAGAATATTTGGATCAAAACTGCACCCAGTAGAGTGTTAACAAGCTTTATCTATTTTTATCTCCTGTGACCTAGTTTTTGACCGAAGATGACCCATCTTCGAACTCGATCTGTATTTCATTGAGACATACATTCTGACAAAGTTTGACAATGATCCAATCAAAACTGTGACTGCTTGACTGTTAACAACCCAATTGTTGACAACGAACGACGCACGACGCACAACGCACGACGACGGACGCTTCGTGGTCAGGTGAGCTAAAAAGTTATGATCCAGGTACAAGTTTGCGGACGGCAACGGCAACGCCGCCAGGACTATAACAATACCTCTACTCTTTTTTTTTTTAAAAAGTCGAGCTAAAAATCATTGACTCCCTCAAAAATCATTGAACTAGAAAAAGCCGAAGATATGCACAACATTAGTGCCAGGTGTGTGTTTTTATCATCTCGAAATTTCGGGTTAGTAAGTCGAAATTTCGAGTTACGTATCTCGAAATTTCGACTTACTAACCGGAAATTTTGACTTATTAACCCGAACTCTCGACTTATTAACTCGAAATTTCGACTTACTAACCCGAAATTTCGACTTATTAACTCGAAATTTCGACTAATTACATTATACTAAAATGGCCAAAAACTTATGAGTTACCAAGAATTTAGATAATAAAAAATATTGTAGTGAGTGCGGTTGTACGATGGAGATGGAGAACCGGGTGCCTGGACAATCGATTAAAGTTAACCTTAAACTTATTAGTGTGGTCAACTTTGACAATCGCATGTACACGCCCGACCTCAAAAACACAAGGCTTCCTTTAATTTGTACGTTCAGGCGTTCTTCAGACGTTGTATTGTAACCTATCTGTTCGAACTTATCTTTTCACTAATCATATTCTTCTCATGCCTGTGAATAAAACAATCCTATACTTCACGTTTGGGACATATAAGTAAAGTATCGCGGAGTGGCCAAAATAGGGCGTGCTGAGGCCTTTGTCAAATTTGTTGGGCCTACTATACGAGAATTTTTCCGTTTCTTGTAAAATCCGATGCTTTAATATTATTCCCAACAAGTATCAAACAACATGTCCCACTTTTATCAAC